AGGATCATGACCTGAGCCGAAGGCAGTCGCTTAACCAACTGAGCCACCCAGGCGCCCCAGTCTCTTCTTCTTTATCATAAAAACTTTTTCCAGTTAAATAGAAATAATTTTCTATTTCATTATATTTGATTATATTGTTTCCTTAGATATATTTGCCAGGCATATTTTACATGAGGAAAATCTGATTTCCTCCTGTGGGAAATGCAGAGTATCACGTTTATTTTGCTGAATAAAACATCTCCTTTCCTAGGCTAGCGCCGTATCTGTTTACCATAGATGCCTCGTATCGATGATAGGAAAGAGTCGGAACTAGCACACGAATATCGTTTCCATCATGGGTGCTGAAAACACTCCTGGAGCCAATTATAGCTCTTTTGGAAATTTTTATTGCCTCTTACAATAATCTGTTTTTAATTCCGTGCTCATCTGTTTCTTCCCGTCAGAAGGAGCAAAAGCCGGTGCAGATGATGTTTCAGGAAGCTACGTTTAAGCTTGCCTATATTAAAGAGGTGCAGACCCAGGTCCTGGAGCTGCCCTACGAGGGTGAGGAGCTGAGCATGGTCATTCTGCTCCCGGACGACAACGTAGATCTAAGCTTGGTGAGAACCCCAGGGCGCCCTTTGCGTCCTTCTTGCTGGAACTCAAGCACCACTTTGAACATTTATGTTTACCTTTCGAGTCAGTGATGTGGGCAACCAGGAAACAGAGCACAGTATTCAGCCTCTCGCGCTTTGGAACCAAACTGTCACTCAGGACCTACTTCTCCCATTATTATCTATGTGATCTCGCCAAATTCCTTAACTCTGTTTTCCCACCTGGAAAACAGGGATGGTGATAACATCTGCCTGAGAGTTACTATGAGGATAAAATGGGGGTGGTTCGAGTAAAAAGCTTAGCACATTGTCTGGTACATAATAAGCCCTGAATAAATATGATCCGTTATTATTATCATAATCGTTGTTAGCATTATATTTTATTTCTTTATTTTTTTTTAAGATTTTATTTATTTGAGAGAGAGAGGGGGAGAGAGATTGCTCATGAACAGTGGGGGTAGGGCAGAGGCAGAGGCAGAGGGAGAGGAGAAGCAGACTCCCTGCTGAGCAGGGAGTCCAGCGCGGGCTCATGACCCAGCTGAAGGCAGACACTTAACCAGCGGAGTTGCCCGGGCACCCCGCATTATATTTTAAATATCAAGAACCCGAAACTCAGGAGAGCAGAGCCAGAAACAGCTCCAGACGGCACTCCCAACTCACTTTGCTTCCTTTCAGCATGCATGCCTAGTGTGAGAGTCATCCATGGCCCAGGAGCTTCTAGGCCCAGGCGCCGAGGGGCACACAGCACTCCCAGTGTCCTAAGGGGCCTGCGTGAGCCGAGCTGCAGCCAGAGGCTCTCTGTGTGTCCTTGCCACCTGCCATCTCTTCTTCAGAAGGTACACAGGATTGCACCTCTGGCAAATTGCTCCAGCAAGAGCCCTTTCTTTTCCAGTCGTTTTTCTTACCAGCAACGCCTCATCTTCAAAAAATAAGCGCAGTTAAAAAGAAAATCACAGTCAGCTGGGCAGTGAGCGTTGTCAGGATGAAAGATGTGTCGTGAATACTGTTGGGTAAGGAGAGGACCAGCCGCTCGTTGTATGCCTCGGGGCTGCCTCCGTGCCGCCTGCTTGGCAAGGGAGCGTGGTTGGAATAGCACAAGTCTGAGATCTCACGGATTTCCCGGCGCAGAAAGGTGTCCCTGGTCCCATGGGACAATCACCACCCATCTCCGAGAGAAGGAAGGGTACGTGGGTGTGCGTGGCCTTACGTACGGAAGTATGAATTTTAAAGTCTTAATTCTGGTCCTTCAGGTGGAAAAAAATCTCACTTTGGAGAAATTCAGAGCCTGGACCAAGCCAGACCGTATGCAGAGCACCGAAGTGGAAGTTTTCCTTCCGAGATTTCAACTGGAAGAGGATTATGACATGGAATCTGTGCTCCAGGGTCTGGGAATGGTTGATGCCTTTCGGGAGGACGAGGCTGACTTTTCGGCAATGTCAGGCGAGAGAGATCTGTGTCTGTCCAAGTTTGTGCACAAGAGTTTTGTGGAGGTGAACGAGGAAGGCACGGAGGCCGCGGCCGCGTCAACTATCTTGGTTGTGGAGTGTTGCATGGATTCTGGCCCCACGTTCTGCGCCGACCACCCCTTCCTTTTCTTCATTAGGCACAATGCAGCCAACACTATTCTGTTCTGTGGCAGGTTTTCCTCTCCATAAGGGTGAGCATTCCCCTCTTTCTGTGTCCTCCTGCCCTGCTCCACAGCCCCGGAAAATGGGCCTTCGAAGCACAGTGCAAAGGTGAGGGCAGATGCCTCAAGCATCTCAATCCCATGCTTGTCCACACCCAGCTCTCCCCATCCTGACCACTCATTTGCCCTACTTAGCCAAGTTCATGGGACAAGAGACCTTAATGATTCCCTGTATTATTTAAAGTGCAGTCCGAATCCGATAGGATGGAATGCGAAGTTTCCCTAGATGGCCCCAGACTTACTCCCCTCTCATTCCACTTGTAATTCATTCTAGTGACACTGTGTTCTGCCTTGTACCTCAGATCTGGTTGCATACTTGCCTTAGCCTGTTTCAGTAGTAATAAATGCTGCTAGCTGAGGCTATTATTTTATAGTCTGCCTGGTGCATGGGCTTTTTAGAAAGCTTCTTTAATGCACATTTTTATTTTATCTTTGACATTCATGCCTCACTAAGTAGGTGGCAAGCAGGGCATCAGGCATTGGAGACGAAGGGGGCGGAGTCATGGTCTTTTGACACCTGGTCTTTAATACTCAGGCCAGAGTAGCTTTTATGACAGGTTGGACGAGGTCATGTCCTTAAACTTATCATGTGATCTCCTCATAGGGATCCCCTTTCCTTCTGTTCTTGTATTTTCTTCACCTCCAACTCTAACAAAAATTCCGCTCAACTCTTAAAAGTTCATTTCCAATGTCATCTCCAGGAAAATTTTTCCTTTTCTACATCAGCAGGTGTGCATCTTTGAACTCTTCATTGCATACTGAGGGAGGGCATTTCTCTTATGGCGGTTGCTTTATTTATTAATCATCTGTGTTCTCCAACTAGACCTTAAATTCCTCAGGGGGTGGGACTATATTTTACATGTCTATGTGCCGTGTACAGTGCAGTGGTAAGTAATTTGATCATAGATGAGCTCTGTAATTTTTTAAAAAAGTGATTAGATATCAGTGACATTACTGGGGCCTTTTTAAAGAATTTGTTATTGAGGTAAAATTCACATAGCATAAAATTAACCATTTTAAAGCGAACAATGCAGTGGTCTTAGTACATTAAAAATGTTGTGCAACCAAAAAAAAAAAAAAAAATGTTGTGCAACCACCACCTTTATCTAGTTCCAAAAAATGTTCATCACCCCAAAGGAAAACCCTGTGCAGTTACTCCCCCCACCCCCAATCCAACTCCTGGCAACTGCCAATCTGCTTTCTACCTCTATGGATTTACCTACTCTGGATAGTTTATATAAATGAATTATATAACATGCGACCTTTTGTTTTTGGCTTTTACTCAGCATGACACGTTCATTCATGTTGTGGCATGTGCTTCATCTCTTTTTATGATTGAATAATATTCCACCATATAGCTGTAGCATAAGATTTGTTTATCCACTCATTCATTGGTGGACATTTGATTTGTTTCCATCTTTTTGCTATTTATGAGTAATCCTTCTACAAACATGCACGTACATGTATTTGTTTGGATAGCTGTTGTAGAAGGGTTCCAGTTTCTTCATATCCTTATGAACACTTGTTATTTCCCACCCCTCTTTTTATAGAAAAATGATGGCGTCTCTAAGTGGGTAGGAAGTGAAATCTCATTGTGTGTTTTATTTGCATTTTCCTATGACTAATAGTGTTGAGCATCTTTTTATGTGCTTACTGGCCATTTGCATATCTTCTTTGGAGATAAGTCTATTCAAGTGCTTTGTTCATTTTTTCATTGGGTTGTCTTTTTGTTGTGAAGTTGTAGGAGTTATTTATATATACTGGATACAAGACCCTTATCAGATACATAGTTTGCAAATATTCTCTCCCATTGCTTAGGTTATATTTTCCCTTTCTTGATAATGTCCTTTGATCCACAAAGGTTTTTAATTTCAGTGAAGTCCAGTTTATCTACTTTTTCTTTTGTTACTCACTTATGGTATCATATGTAAGAATCCTTTGCCAAATCCAAAGTCACGAAAATTTACAACTATTTTTTTCATAAGACTTTTATGATTTTAGCTCTTACATTTAGAACGTTAATCCATTTTGATGTATATGATGTGAGGTAGGGGTCCAACTTAATTTTTTTGCATATGGGATATCAGTTGTCTCAACACCTATAATTGCTTTTGAATTGCAAAAGGATGTTGATAATAGATAAAAAATAATATCTAAACAAGTGATAAGGTGAAAAATTATACAGCTGGCATATATATATCAAATCCATTCCATGAATGGAATCCACAACCAGACTGAAAGAAAATATTATAAAAAATCAGTAAGGAATTAACACTAGGGTATACAAAGAACTCCTGCAAATCAAAGAGAACAAGGCAGTCAGTAATCAGAAAAATACAAATAAAATACCATGAGATACTGCTCAACATCCATCGGATTGGTGTCAGAAAGTTGGACACCGTGCAGCATCAGCCAGGAAGTAGGGAAATTTAGGAGCACTTGTGGGAATAAGAACCAATATGGCTCAGATAGGAAGCAATCTGGCAGTGAACTCAATTGGTGTCTGCTCTGGGCTCCAGCAGCTCATTTCGGGGTGTGTGGCCCAGTGATGTCATTGCACAGGTCCCCAGAGGTACGGGCACGAGGGGGTTCACTGCAACTTCTTTTATGTTGGCAATGAATTGGAAGCTACCTAAGTGTCCATCTCAGTGGGAATAATGAAGGTGTGCGCATACTTTGTGACACTATGTAAGAGTTAGACTAAAGTACAAAGTAGGTGTACATTCAGTCTTACGGATAGATGATACTGAATAAAAAATACATATATATGTGTATATATATATCTAGTTTAACAACTTATAAGTTTTACTTATGTAGATTAAAAATCTCTGCAGTATATATTATACAAGGATACACACCTATTGTATTTCTTTTTATTGGTGAGAAACTTTTCATAAATTTTGCTATGATGTTTTATTAATGAACAGTTTTTTTATCCCTATAGTCAAATCTAGGTTTTCTTCCGTAGTGATTTTTGACACTGCTTTCAATTCTTAGAAATACTTTCCCATTGAAGCCAGCACGGCACCTATATTTTCTTCTAAACTGTTATGTTTTTAATTGATTTAACTATTTAATCCATCTGAAATTTGTTTCTGTGTTGTTGACATTCAGGAGAAAATATAATTGTATTTATTTACAAATGGCCAACTTCTCAACATTAATTGTAAATAATCTGTTTTTCCCCAGTGTTCACGGTGATTTTCTCATCTTCATTCTTCAAGGTGAACGTCAGAATAATTTTGCAATACTCAAAATAATGTTTTTAACTTTGGTATTTTTTGGAGGGATTAGTGTGACATTAAACATATAAATTTGGGGATAAATTAATCTATTTACAGGGTTTAGTCTTGTTCGGGAAATGTGAGGAGTCTCCATTTATTCAAATCTTTTTTATCTCCCTCTCTCTATATATATTTATGTATATATATATATATAGACAGAGAGAGAGAGACATAGTTTTGTTTTTCTTGTTATGGTATTTCTAAGTTTTATTGTCATTATAATAATTGTAGTGAGAGCATTTTCCCTCATTTGGTTATGGGTGGCATATAAGCAAACGAAGTTTAGTACATACTAAAGAGAAACATCATTTCTCCCTCCTCCTACTAAATACTTTTGACCCCAGTTGTGTGGGTTTTTCCACACCAAGCAGTTCTCCGCTTCTCAGGGACACCGACTGGGTGCCTTACAATTTAACTGAATTTTATTTTTTCCGCAATAGAAGAATTTAATTCATTTATATTATGCAATACTCTGCAGAACATTTTTTTAAATTGTGAAGGGTCTATATGCAGTTCCTGAAAAAGGTCATGAAAACAAATTAAGTGAAAAATACAGCTTTCAGTACAACGTGCCTACATGATGCACGCATTTATGTGAACAGACCCTGTATGTCTACACGTAATTCACATATGTGAGTCTCTGGGAAAAGGTTTAAAAGGCTAAGCCTTCACCTTTAACAGAGGTTATCTCTGGGAAAGGTTTTGAGGGGGAATGGGAGGAAAACTTCCAGTTTTTACTCTCTGTGTTTCAATATTATTTAATGTTTCAACTAGGAAAATCTAATCCTGTGATCTGCACATAATTCAAAGGAAGAACTCCAGGATATAACCACATGTGTAATTCTGAGTGACACGGTATTGAAACTGAAATAAAATCTACATAAACAGCTTTAAAATATTTTATTCTTGGCTTTTAGAATAAATTTTAATAAGAATGTCAGTCAAACATGTATCTTCCTCTTTTCATGAATAAGGTTCATTTCCAGCTTTTTTTTTTAAATTATTTTTCAAAGCTTTATTTCCTGTTCTGTGAGCTGACTTCATATACTTTGCTCATATATTCCCTAGGGTTGTGTGGATGAGGAGGAGTGGTTTCACACGACTTTTAAGATAAAGATTAAACGCCCGCATAGAGCTAACCAGTAAGGAACTGGGTTGTGTTCCCTCCAAATGTACATGTCAATGCCCACACCCCCCTCCCCAGTACCTCAGAATGTGATTATGTTGAGACATAGAGCCTTTAAGGAAGTAATTAAACTTAAATACGGTCAGAAGTGTATGATCCTAATCTCCTTATAAAAAGAAGAGGGCCTGGGTGGCTCAGTGGGTTAAGTGTCTGCCTTCAACTCAGGTCATGATCCCAGGGTCCTGGGATCGAGTCCCGCATCTGGCTCATTGCTCAGTGGGGAGTCTCCTTCTCCCTCTCCCTCTGTCTGCCGCTCCCCCTGCTTGTGTTCTCGCTCTCTGTCTGACGAAGTCTTTAAAAAAAAAGAAGAGATACTAGGGCAAACAAGCTCAGAGAAAATGCCACGGTGAGAAGGTGGCCATCCGCAAGCCACGGAGAGAGGCCTCAGGAGAAACCTGCCCTGCTGACATCTTGATCTCTGACTTAAAGCCTCCAGAACTGTGAGAAATGTCTGTTGTATAAGCCACCCAGTCTGCCGTATTTGATTATGGCAGTCTGAGCAGGCTAATACAAGACACTTCCTAATTTAACCCACTCTCCTGTCCATCCTTTGCCTTTCTCCAAGGACAATCCTCAGCTCTAGCCTGACTAAACTATTTACAGCTTCCTGATGATAGATTGATTCCATGCTCTGTCTTTCCTCTGGGGCTTCACGCTTTCCACATTCTACCTTGAAACCCTTCTTACCCATCCCTCCCCCCCATTCACCTCCCCCAGCCTCAAACCCTCCATCAGCAGCTAATACTCACTAATCCTTGTGGGTGAAATACTCCACCTGTGTGTTTAATTCTTTGAAGCTGAAGCTTTTGGTACACTGAATATAAATGAACTATTCACCCACCTGCCCAAGATTGTAAAGTCCTGGAGGGCAGGAGTTGTCCCACAGTTGTCTCCCCAGCACCCAGCACCTAGCACCAGCTACACAATTTATGAGGCCCTACTACAAAGGAAAATGAGGTCCCTCGTTTGAATTTCAGGACAGTATCGAATCAGGGACAGGGCATTTGCGAGCGCGGGGCCTTTTGCAAATCCACAGGTCCCATGCTGCTGAAGCTGGCGCTGCTTGAACACCACCAATCACACAAGCCCGGTACATAGTCTGGGTTTTGTGAGATTAGAGAGAGCATTTCAACTTTCTAATCCTTGGCTGTCAAGGGAAACAGAAACACTATTTTTTCTGAAACGTGTTCTAACAGGATACGACCATGGGAATCTTTTAGTTTTGCCTGAAACACAAACATAGTAGATGTCCAAGGCTAAAACAAACACCAACAGGGCTAAAAAATGTCAGAGCTGAGGTCACTAACTAGCCAGGCAAGGGAGCAATCAGAAATTCCATGAGTAGTTTGCCAAGAGGAAAAAGTCAAGGATGCTTTAGAGGCTGAAAAGAGGGCGCTTTTGGAACTCAGCACTCTGGCCAAGACAGAAGGAGCCCTCATGTTTGTAAAAGCTCACGGGACAGCAGTGTCTTCAGTCAGGTCTTCTACAGACCTGGTGTCTGAGGGTCACTTAAGGTTTCATGGTTCCTCATCAGCCTCACTGGCTAGGGCACTGTGATGAGCTGCAGTGAATTACGGGGCGGTTCGGGTAAGGTGCAGGGAGGGGAAGTTACCTTCTGGTGGAATGTGTGACTGATGTCTTTCCCTGAGGACATCACCCAGATCTCTAGACCTCTCCCAGGTAAGAGGGATTAGAGAGAAGCTTTTGAAAGGGTATTTGTGAGAGATCCTTCCTCAGAGAGATATGGTGTGCTAGGACCCACTCCCCCAACCCCTGTGCATGGGGGAAGCAGGGGAAGACAGAGCCTGTTGAGTGAGTTTGGCTCATGCAGAGAGAGAGAGGAGAGAGGCAAGAGACAGATGGATCGAGATAGAGATAGAAACTTTGTAAGTGGGCTTGACTCATGTCCCCTGGATATGCCAGACATTTGGATATTGCCCAGGAGAAACGTGCAGGGAGTGCAAATATTGATCCCAACAAACCAAAATGGGCCAAACTAGAGTTGCATGGCCTCTCTGGGCTCAGCTCCTGGCCCATAAAATGAGAGAGCAATTTGATTGTGATGTGAGGGTGGATAAGGTTCACAGAGCTGGGTCACACAACAGTGAAGGTCAAAAGCACTTGGCGATATTGCCAAGCTTCTAAAAGGGAGTGGTGACTGCAGGGACCAATGGCCTTTCTTCTTTGTTCTCCGGGGTTTGGGCTGCTTCTCCAACGTCTCAGGAGCTAAGGTCGTTTGTATAATGTGGGCAGGAAGAGTGGAAGTTTCCAGTCCCGGACCATGATGCTAGTCCTCAAGTGGGAAGGCTGAATCCTAATACCTCCCTCCTCACTACCTGCTGTGGGGGCCAGGCCCTGACCTTCCAGGGCTGCGCAATAAGGAAGTCCATTTGGACAAGACTTCCCGCTCCAACAGTCCCCAAGCCTGTTTCTGGATCTCTTCTCGACAACCAGGCAAAGATGACATCAGCATAGCCTAAGCCCCCAAGGAGAGGTGGACTCCCCTGAAAAACTATGAGGCAGAGAAAAACGAGATCTAGTAATCCCTTCCTTTTTTGGGGGAAGGAGGAGTTAGCATTTGTGAAATCCTGCTATGCACCAGAGACTGTGCTAGGCACTGCACGTGCATTACTTTACTTAGTCCTCACAGCAACCTGGGCAGGTAAATATTGATAAGAAAACTGAGCTTCAGAGAAGTTAAGCAACTAGTTCACTTAGGTAGTTCAAAGCTGGCAAGGGAAATGAAGCCAGAGCTCTCAGACTGCAAAGTCAGAAGGGACCGTGGCAGAGCCTCTGTGAAAAGCACGCACCCCGACTCCAAGATGCATGGACTCCCTGTTCACTAGCCTTGCCCAGATGCCCTCCCAGCAGCTTAGCTGTTCCACAGTGGACACGTTGAGTTGTCAGTGTTTTGTCCTTATTTTCTTTAAACATTAAGAAGGCTCTATTGCCGGAAGTTTCAGGCGAAGCGGGCTGGAGGGTGAGGATCTCTGATCTCTGCAAGGAAGGATGGCTTATTGATGCCCCAGACCTTGCGCCACGACCCTGGGACCTCCGGCCCGGGTAGACAGGATGAAGCGGTATTCGGTGTAGGAACTGCCTGGAGTGAAGTCAGGTTGGTCCAGAGCTCGGGGTGCTGGGATGGTGGACAGCCGCTCTGCGGAGTGCACCAGGTTTCAGGCTGTCCAGCGAAGCCCCGCCCCGCCCCTCCGGGTCCGA